TGGGGTGTGTATCCCGCCTCTGCCACTAGACCGTGACGCTGAGCAGGTCTGCAGGCGTCCGGGAGCCTCCGGTTACTCAAGCCTGTAAGATGGGGCTGCTCCTGCCTCCCTGCAGGGCTCCAGGATGAGCAGTAACGCGGGTAAGATCTGCTCAGATCAGAAGCCAGCGAGCGGCGAGCGCTGCCCCGTTGTCGGGGCTGACCCGTGCCTGTGGTGGCAGAGGTCCCAGCCGCATGACACAGTCACACTCCGGAGGCACAAGCCCGCGGCGTGAGCAGGCCCCCTCCTCACCCCGCCCCGCTCCCTGTCCCGAGGCCTCCGCTGCCCTCAGAGGTGGGTCCTGCGTCGGAGACGGGCTCCCCCTGCCGGCAGGTAAGGGTGGTGCTCAGGGCAGGTTGGCGGATGGGTGGCAGCTGCAGACTGTTCTAGAATTCCCCGGGAGTGCCCCTGCCCTACTCCAGGGTGGGGCAGCCGTGGACCAGCCACCTACAGCATAAGAAGACACGTGTATTTGGTCCCTGTCCCTGGTTCCTCATACAGAGACCCCCGGGAATTCCTAAGTGATGGGGTGAGAGGAGTGTCTTTTGTCCTACTATTTGGTCTTTGTCGCTGGAACCATCTCTCGGAACTTCCTGGGTGATGGGAAAATCTCTTGTCCTAATGGGGCAACTGCTGTTGGGTCCCTAGATAGCTCAGAGTGGGGCAGGTCCCCAGAGACCTAATGGTGATTAGAAGCTCGGAACTTTCAGCCCCAATCCCCAACCTCAAGAGAGGGGAGAGGGGCTGGAGACCGAGTTATGACCGATCATCACCACGTGATGACGCCTCCACAGAAAGCCCAATGGCATGGGGTTCAGGGAGCTTCTAGGCTGGTGGACACAGCCATGTGCCAGGAGGGTGGGCACCCCAAGGGCACAGGGCAGAAGCCCCTGCGCCTGGGAGCCTTCCGGACCTCGCCCTGTGTTTCTCCCCATATAGGTGTTCACTTGTATCCTTTGTCGCATCCCTTGTAATAAACTGGTAAATGGGAGTGCAGCATGTTCCTGAGTTCTCGGAGGTGTTCTAGCAAATGATCACAGGAACCCGACTGACAGCCAGCTGGTGGGAAGTAGCGGACGCCCAGGACTTGTGACTGGTGTTTGAAGTGGGAGCAGCCCTGTAGGACGCAGCCCTTAACCTGTGAGGCTGGGGTGTCAGGGTCAGAGCTGAGCCGAAGTGCCCAACAACGAATTGTGTCGGGAGACTCAGGGAGCTTGTGGCATCAGAACTCACCGTGCCGTCTAAACTTTCGAAACGGAAGGGGGCCCCCCACACATGGAGGGAGACATCACAAACACCATCTTACTAATCAATGGCCCCGGGCAGGGGCCTCTGAGAGCCTTCCTAGAGACACATATAGGCCTCCATCTCACAGCAGAGGGGCCAGGCCAACCATAAACAGGACAAAAAGACAACCCATGGAATATGAGAAAATATTTGCAAATGATGCGACTGACGAGGGCTTAATCTCCAAATATACAAGCAGCTCATACAGCTCAACATCAAAAAACAAACAACCCAATCAAAAATGGGCAGAAGGGACTTCCCCGGTGGCGCAGTGGTTGAGAGTCCGCCTGCCGGTGCAGGGGACACGGGTTCGTGCCCCGGTCCAGGAAGATCCCACATGCCGTGGAGCGGCTGGGCCCGTGAGCCATGGCGGCTGAGCCTGAGTGTCCAGAGCCTGTGCTCCGCAACGGGAGAGGCCACAACAGTGAGAGGCCCGCATACCGCAAAAAAAGTAAATAAATAAAAAATAAAATAATGGGCAGAAGACATACAGATGGCCAGTAGGCACATGAAACGATGTTCAACGTCACTAGCTATTTGAGAAATGCAGATCAAAACTACAGTGTGGTATCACCTCACACAGGTCAGAATGGCCATCAGTAACAAGTCTACAAACAATAAATGCTGGAGAAAGTGTGCAGAAAAGGGAACCCTCCTACACTGTTGGTGGGAATGTAAGTTGATACAGCCACTATGGAGATCAGTATGGAGGTTCCTTAAAAAACTATAAATAGAACTATCATACGATCCTGCAATCCCACTACTGGGCACATATCCAGACAAAACCTAATTCAAAAAGATCCATGCACCCCTACGTTCATAGCAGCACTATTCACAATAGCCAAGACATGGAAACGACCTAAATGTCCACTGCCAGATGAATGGATAAAGAAGATGTGGTCTATATACACAATGGAGTATTACTCAGCCATGAACAAGAACAAAATAATGCCATTTGCAGCAGCATGGATGCAGCTAGACATTATCATACTAAGTGAAGAAAGAGAAAGACAAATACCATATGATATCACTTATATGAGGACTCTAAAATAGGAGGCTAATTAACATATCTATGAAACAGAAACAGACTCGGAGAAATAAAGAACAGGGTCCTGGGTGGCAAGGGGGGGGGGGGAGGAGGAGGGATGGAGTGGGAGTTGGGATTAGCAGACGCCAACTAGTATATATAGGACGGATCAACAGCAACGCATAGTGCAGGGCACAGAGAAGTACATTCAGTATTCCACGATAAGCCATAATGGAAAAGAGTACGGAAAAAAGAATGTACGATATACGTATAACTGAATCACTCGGCCGTACAGCAGGAATTAACACAACATTGTTACAAAAAGAGAAAACAATTCTCTAACAAGCCTCCCAGGCCGCTACTCAGATGCCCTTGTCCTCTGTGCTCTGCCCACCCTGGCTTCTGCGTCTCCTCCCAGGCCTGGCAGCTCTCGCACAGGCCATGCACACCCTCTTCCCTGCATCCGGAATGATCCAGTGCCAGCATGCACGGCCACCCCTCCCATCCAGCCATCCCCTTCGGGTCTCTGCTCAAGCATCTTTTCACTAAAAACCTTCCCTGGCTGCTCGGTCTAGGGGGGGTCCTTTAGAGCAAATTCCCCTGAAGTCTCATTCTTTTCCTTCCTCAGAATATGCATCTCAGTCTACAACTACGTATCAGTCATGTGACTGTTGGATTGATTTCTCAGATCACTACTGTATACCCGTACCTTAACAGAGGAACTAACAGTAGTAGGTTCTTTACAAATATAGACTGAATGAGTGAGTGAGTTGAAATACAGGGCCCTGACCCATCTTTGATATTCCAAGATCTATGACCTCACAAAATAGGTCAAGGCCACAAGTTCCATGCATCCAATCATCAGAGGGATGGGGTATTGGAAAGCCAGGAATAACAAACAGGAAAGCCATCATACAAACCGGGTGGCTATGCAAAGCCACTCTCCCAGAGCGGCGGGCACAGATGGAGAGAGCAGCAGGGTCCAGGTTTGAGAATCGACCCGACTCTATGCGGGGAGTAAACCTCTGATTTCAGAATGGCTCCTGCAGTGGCTTTGGAAGAGTGGTGAGGGCGTTTTTGGTGACCACAGGGTCAGAAAGGGCCCCAACGGCATTCCTTTGGAGGAATTCTTTCGGAAAACTAAAGACATTGAAGCAAGGCGTTGGGCCAATCCCACGCAACAACACTTTTTTGTTGCTCCAGTGCCAACAGCACCTCTGTTGAGAAACGCTGACGGGAATCTGGGTGCTGGAGGGTATAATACAGTTACATATCCCCCTACACAAGCTCCCCCCGTGATTCTAGCCCTCACTACCATGGAAAGAGGAAGTGGCTGTTTATTAAGACACAGAGAACAAAGCGAGGGCAGCCACAGCACCAGCCCTGGTGCCAAAACAAAGCAGGACCTCACAGTCGGGATGATGGCTGGCACACATGCATGGGTGTGCACGCGTGCACACACACACACAGCACGTGGGTGAACTCTGGCTGGCGTGCACGCACACAGGTGCACGGACTGTGGCTGACAAGGAAGGTGGTGTTACGGCTGCTCCTACACAGGGCCGGTCCTCCTCGCCCTCCCCGCCAGGGCTTCCGTCTGGGGAAACTGGAGGCTTAGGGCTGGCTCTCACGGTGCCACGACGGCGATGACCCACTCCAGCCGCCCTGGCCAGGCTCCTCTCTTATTGGCGCTTTGCGCACAGGACCTCACTCTGAGCGGTGGCGGCATGACTGGTCTTGCCTTCACTGCTCCATTTTACGTGGATGGCAGCTTAATGCTACCAGGATTCCAAGTTATGTTATGGGATAAGTTGACCGCTTTCTTTCCAATGTATGGTGAATTCCAAACCAAAAGGTATCCAGGACTCTTCTTACATCTTCTTTCCAAGGTGAGGTCATCATAAATGATTTTCTTTAGAAAATCCCGTGTTCAACAGGCCCCAGGTCTCCTTTCCCCACTTCTTCTCCAGATCATCTGATCATAAATGGAACTGCCAAGAAGTTCCCTGACCCATCCCCTGGTGACGAACAGAACTTTATAGTATAATACGATCTGACGGGACACAGTATATCATACAAATTCTTACAGTCTCTGTAAGAATTCTGCTAACAACTGGTAAATGTGCTTCAACCATCACACGGATTCTTTTCCTCTGATAACAAATGTAATGCGTGTCTATTCTAGAATATTTAGCCAGGCGCCAAGAAGAAAAACTGACACCCACTCACTCTCTCAACTACAGAGGTAATCAGCGTTAACGTTTTAGCGATCCTTCCCCCCCAAGCATGTGTAAGATATCCGTTTTTATATGAAATTGAGGTCATATGAGATGTCCTTTGCATCGGGCAATAGATCAACCACGTGTTCCATAACACGGTTTCCATGGCTGTTTACCACTACATCGTATGGATGATCCCAAGCTCACTGAACAAATCCCCTCACGCTGGGCATTCGGGAGCGGCAGGGATGTTGTGCTCAGCACTCCTCCACTGACTCTCTTCCTGAGAATAAATTCCTGGAAGTGGAATGGCTGGGCCAGAGAACATAGGTCTGGATACTTATGGCCACACTGTCTTTCCCGAGTTTCCCAACAGGGTGTACCGTCCCGAGCAATGTGTACGGGCATCCCTTTCCCCAGACACTTACCACCAGTGAGTGGCTGGTTTCTTCTTGGCTCTTCCATTTTAGATGCAGTGGGCCATGCAGAATACAGGGAAATTCGTCTTTGGAATTCACCTCCATCCTCGGGAACCTATAGATACACAAAAGACAGCACTTCTGAAATGACCAAGGAAACGTAGGACATGTTTACATGTGAACAGAATGCTGAAACAGGTTTTGCAAACGAAATGATAAAACGACGCTCTTTTGCTGACACAGTATGGATGAAAATTTCGGGCCTGGCCCTGCCCACGTACTTAAAATAACCTATTAGTCAGTGACAATGTCCCCATCACCTGTCACTCTTTCCACCCAGTTGTTGGTGGCATAGATTTTAGAGGGGCATCTCTCCAAGCTCTATGTCTCCTAGGGCTCATTCTGCGTCCCCCAGGCCTGCAGTTCTGTCTGGCTTCCCTGAGCTGGGGAAGAAGAAGATGACCTTATTTAAGACCTTTCGGGGACAGCAGGGTAGAGATTCCGCCATCTGTCAAGGTGAAGGGTCCTCCTGGGTGTGTGTCTGCCGCCTCCGTAGACTGACTCAGGCCCAGGGAACGGCCGTGGTATTTGGATGCAGGAAAACACCAGTGACTCATCTTCCTCTGGAAGGCAGGCAAGACCGTGGCATCCTCCTCAGGTGAAGGGACCTCAGTTGAAATTCACCCCAAATCCCCAATGTCTCAAACAGTTCCTTCCGTCTGAGAAGCTGTACAAGGTTTGTCACGTGTGGCGATTCACCTTTGGCCACGGCAAGCTCCAGCTCTGCAATTTAATCATCATATTGAACAAGTAATTTCTAAATTGGTCCTGTGATCAGGACTGTGTTATAGGAATATTAATTGTTTGAAGTGTGCAGCCAGAAAACACACGACACCCTAGATTTTACGGCTCATTCTAAACGATGGTGGCACATTACTGCTTCCTAACGCCATAAATTGGATGTTGTTTATAATAATACAGCTAGAGCAGTAACACTTTATCATAAGAGCTGCTGCCCCCACGGAAAATCATTATTCAGCGTACACTGTATAAACTGGTCATCACTCACGGGCAGGTGATGTGGCCCATTTTACTTACAGGGGAGCGGGCAATATATTATCTTCTTATTGGGTTGATGTTTTTTCCCAGAAGGATTATGTTGCTTCTTGTGTGTTGCTCGGAGAGTTTTGTCAGTGTCACTCGTCTTACGGGCATTATGCCCAGAGCAGAGGAGTAACCGTCCCTAACCTCAGAATTATTTTCAGAGGAGAACCAGGGAAAGAGGTTTTCACCTACAGATTTAATCTCTTGCTTCCCAAATGGAAAAACAAAGAGGAAATGATAACGGAGATGAGCAACTGCTCCCCAAAGCCGGCCAGGTCACGAGAGGCGAGCCACCCTGACTTGAGCTGCCCTTTACGTACAGGAAGACAGTGGCTGACTGTGGTTCGGCAGATGGTGTGAGGCTGGGCCTTCCATCTTCCTGGACGTGCGTCCCCAAAGGAGCTTGGCCACCTCTCCCTGGTGCCCGAGAGAGAACCTGGCCTTGCTACAGGAGACAGAGTCGCGCTATGGATGTCACAGCGTGATGCGAGCTGCCCACCCCGACAAGCTTGGGGGCGCCCCCCACTCTGGGGGTGAGCACCGCTGCCCTGGCTGCTGTGCTGCTGCCACAAGGCAAACCGCCCCGGGCCCTGGTCAGCAGTGCCCTCCACCAGTGGCACGCGTGTGCCGCTTAAGCGTCAGCGGCTGAACATCCTCAGAGATGCCAGCCAGCCCGGGCGTGGGCCGTGAGGGGCCACTCCTCACTAGGTCTCAGGCTCCCCTGGAGCCACGGAGCCTCCTCCAGCCTCTGGCACTCTCCAAGGTTCTGGTGATTCGGCCTCCGGGCCACACCACAGCCTCTCCTGACCCGCCAGCGTCAGGCACATTGAATTCGTCTGCTGGGACGTCTGAGTCTCCGCAGCGAGCCTGTGGGAGGGGCTACAGGTAGAGAATCGCAAGCACACCTGCACAGTGTCTCGCCGTTTTCGAATGCTGCTCCAGACGCTGTCTGGAGGTGATGCGACCAGGGACTGGAGTGCGGGCTGGGAAAGCCCTCCTCGTCCACGAGCGGGCGCCCTCCGGCTCCTTCCTGGCGGCTCTGAGTGCCCATTTCCTCTTCCGGAAAGTAGGGTCCACGCTAGTCCCCGTGCGATTGGGTTTCCAGGAGGACGCCGTGGGCTCACCCACACAAGCACGCGTGCGGCGCGGGCTGTTAACTCCCACCAATGCCCCCCCCAAAAGAAGTACTGCAGGAGGGGCGGGGAGGGCAGGATGCAAAGAGCATCGACTGTCTCATCTGCTTTCACGCGGGCCGTCCTGGCACCTTTTCCACCACCTTCCTCTCTCACAGGTGGGCAGACCGAGGCAGGTTCCTCGCTATGCGTCGTCCCTATTTGGGGCGGACGCTCCCCCGTGCACCGGGGGGGGCAGGGGGTGGGGGTGTTCGGCAGCATCCCGGGCCTCCACCCAGCAGAGGACCGTCCCGCGCGTGACAAACAACCAAGAAAGTCTCGGGGCGTGGCCAGTGTCCCCTGTGGGGCGACGCTACCCCCCATTTGAGACCCCCTGAGGCGGGGTAACTTGTCAAAGGCCCATGGGGAGCAGGGAGCCAGGCCCAGAGCCTGGGGCGTGAGGGCCACAGGGGCTCATCAAAGCGGGCGTTGAGATGGGGCTCCAATCGGGCAGGACAGATGGATACAGAGCCTTCGAGGGAACCTGGACGGACGGAAGGCCATGTGACGAGCCGCCAGAGGCAGAGGCCAGGAGGCAGGCGCGCGGGGCAGGAGGACAGATGGGCCGCGCAGGCCTCAGGGAGCCGACACAGGAGCTTGGAGCCGGGGCAGAATCAGGCCCAGGGGCCGGGCAGGTGCTGGGCCGGGGCGGGGATGAAGGGGCCTTCAGGCCGAGCCGGGGCGCAGAGACCCGTCTGGGACAACAGGCGCCCCATGGCCAACAGGAGGGCCTTCCCGGCCGCCACCGTCATCCTGGCAACGGGGCTGTCATCGCCGACCACGGACAAGCGGGCTGGGAAAGAAGGATGCCATGAACACAAACCGGGGTGAGGAACTGGGGGCCGTGGGCACCGCAGGCCCAGTGCCCACCAGGCGGGTCGGTGGTCCCAAGCCTCGCTCTGCGCAGAGGCCGTGGTTGCTGACATGCCCCTGACACCGGCCCGTCACCTGCCCCCAGCCTCCCACGGACAGCCAGCGGGGCCTGTGCCGAGCCTCTGCCCGGCTCAGAGGGGCCCTCACGGGGGCGGGGTCTGCTCGCCATCTGGGGAGTCAGGGTTTCCTGAGGCGAGTGACAGAGGCTCACGCCTCTCACACTCCCACTCCTCAGGAAATCCGGCCCGACAGACAGCCAAAAGAAAACACCCCCTGCGGGCCACTGGGCTATTTTTTTTTTTTTTTTTTTTTTTTTTTTTTGCGGTACGCAGGCCTCTCACTGTTGCGGCCTCTCCCATTGCGGAGCACAGGCTCCGGACGCGCAGGCTCAGCGGCCATGGCTCACGGGCCCAGCCACTCCGCGGCATGTGGGGTCTTCCCGGACCGGGGCACGAACCCGTGTCCCCTGCATCGGCAGTCGGACTCTCAACCACTGCGCCACCAGGGAAGCCCTTCTGGGCTATTTTTATTCTGCGTGGCCCGGCCGAGGCTTGCCTGTCTCCACCACTGTCCACCGGGCAGAGTTTCAACCCGACGTGTGTTCAGGAAGATGCTAGAAATTTCCAGCTTGCAGATGCTGGTGGGCTGTTAACGGAGCTCGGGCCGTGCAGATGGGCAGCCTGGTGGGAGGCCCCAGGCTGGACAGCCTTGGAGAGACGTTGGTGACGGGCCCCGCGGGCTGTCAGATCACAGGCCTTTTCATTCCTCGACATTTCGGGAGACCAGAGCTTTCTGTCCCAGAGCTACACACCAGTCCCCGACTGGTTCATAGAGTCACTCACACAGTACTCAGAAACCCGAATGGCCGATGGGAGCAGGGCTCCAGGCCCTACACTGGATCTCAGGACGATCTCTGGGGTGAGAAGCAAACAGAAAATTGACCTAAAGCGATAAAGCCCATTGGAGCATCGTGGGAAGTTGTGCCCTGCATTATGGCCAGACAGCCCCACCTTGCTGAAGAGCATCTCAACCGATACGCGCACACGGAAGGCTGGTGGTTCAGCCTAGGAAAGCAGGCGTCCCCAGTTAAGCATGGCCAGCTGGACCGATTCTGTCCTCCCTTCCCATCGTCGGTTACCCTAGGAGCCAAGAGAGGTGCAGGTCAGCTCTGAGCTGGCTTCCCTGCTAGAGCTGCGGGCGGCCCGCCCTCCCGAGGCCCCGCCCCGGGTGCCGTGGAGGCCGGCCGCCGGCAGAGGGGGCCCCAGGCCTGCCGGGAGCCAGGGCTGCAGGCGGGGAAGCCGCGGCCGAGTGTGCCATGCCGCCGGAGGACACTGGGGAGGAGGCTGCTCAGAAAGCCAGCTGGCTCCGTCCCCACTTGCCAACTGACGGAGGCTGGTGTCCACGGTGAAGTCACAGACAGTGGAAAGTGCCTAGCCAGGCACAGAGACGACAAAACCAGCGGAAGGAAACTGCAGGCCGGGAGGGAGCAGGGCCGGGAAGCCCTGCTTCCCCTTCGAGCCGGCACCGCAGCCCGTGCCAAGGCCCACGGAGCTCCAGCCGGCCTTTGGAGGCCCCTGCCTGGGTCTCGTCTCTGTGCGGGGCTGCCCGCTGGCCATCCTGAAGCTGGAATCCTGAACCGAGGAAGGGGGGAGGGGAAGGGAGCCAGGGACGGAGGCCAGGCGGCTGGCAGGCCCCCTCTGACCCCGCACGGCTCGCTGGCGGCCCGTGGCGGACGTCAGGAGCTAGAGCCACTGGACACGCCGAAGGGGACCGTGAAGGCAAGGCTGGATGCCCCACGCCAGGGAGCAGAGTCTTCCAAACGCTGAGGACCCCGAGACGTGACAGCTCTGGAAAGTTCAATGTGACTGCGGCACGTGTCTGTACCACCCAGCTGTGGAGGGCGGCCTGTGGCTTCCGCTGCCCGTGGGTCTAGAGACAGTGCCCAGAGGGACAGCAGGACAAGAAA